CCAGTTCATGAAAATGCATTTACTACTACATTAATAATTGAATTTTTGGTTGGAAATCCCAATTGTTTTGGGATATTAGCATAGGACTCCCTATGCTTTAAGGAAATTCCCGATTTAGTCTCTTTTTTTTTTTCCGTTGAATCAGTTTCCTTTACTATTAAGTAAATCGAATTGTAGTGCACAATTCGCAAACCAATACAACGAAAGGGGCTACCATTGTGGCCACCCCAGAAAGATCAAAAAAAGAACAGAGCAAAAAACACTCAACTCCCCTCCCACATGTACAACTAGCACTACCGGAAAAAAAAAACAAACTTATGACATATACAGCAACTGAAGATCGCGCTTCATCAAGTCCTGTAAAACGTCAAAACCACGCTCAAGTTCTTGATGCAACCGCCGACAACGCTCCTGCCAAATGTAAGTAATCAGCATGCTCCATTTCACTCCAAAGAAGCTCCCCTGCCCTCGAAAGACAACCTGGCAAGCTAGTCTCTATGTCTTGTAGAAGTTGATTTTGGTTCTATATTATGAGGAATTTTACGATACTTCACAATATTGGATCTTTCATTTAAAAAGAAAAAAAATCATTTATACTATAAAATGAATTTGTACCATAAATCATAACATACGTTTCCTACAAATTTTTTTATTGTACAAACTAAACTTGTACCTTTAATGTTACGGTATAAATTCGATTTGTACCTGTACATGGTGTATAGAAGGTTTGACTTTATTTGGTCATTGATCGACTCGAAATTGAACTAAATTTTCGTATTTTTAGTTACTTCGGATTTTTAAATTTTTTATATTGTAATGAAATTTATTTGAACACTTACCAGAATAGTTTTTTTTTAATGATGTGTTTCTTTTGTGAAAAATAAAGAGAGAGAAAAAAAGAATAAGAGAGTAATTTGACAGTTTGCAATTTTCAAGACAATGTTTAATTGTTTAGCAACTCCAAATTTAGATCATTATGAATTTCTAAAAAAAAATATAGGGCTCGTCAAATTAGGGGTGGGCAATGGGCGGGTTGCGTGGATTTTGGTCTCAAATTGACCTACCCGCTTACTAGCGGGTTGAAATAATTGTGACCCGCAATCCACTCATATACTTCTGCGGGTTGGGTTGGGTGGGTGGCGGATGGGTGCGGTTGGGTCGCGGGTCAACCCGCAAAAGCAATTCTCCAACTAGCCATTAAGAAAGTTGACTAACATTTATAATAAGTTCATAGAAAAATTAGTAAGACTGTATCAATAATTTGTAATTTTGATACAATTAATAATTTATAGTTTGCATGCCAATATTTAATGATTATTAACAATAATCTACATACCAATATCCAATATCTAATGGATATTGCACAACACAATGACCAATAAAAGTAGTCAAAACTATTATTTACTCTTCACCTTTTGAAGTATATGGTCAGACTGTAGTGCAGTTCGAAAATATGATGAATATTCGATACTATAAGAAACAACATTTTTCATGTAAAAATATGATGCGGGTCATATGGGTGACCCGCAATCCACCCACATAAGTGTGAGTGGGAGATTTACCAATCCGCAATCCACCCACATCAATCACCCACTGCGTGCGGGTCGGGTTATTTGCGGGTGGATCGATATCAATTCGCGGATTAACCACCCACGTGCCCACCCCTACGTCAAGGCCGATACTATGGTGCCGCTATAAAAAGTGCGGCACCGGTGCCGCAGATTATTATTGGGCCACGTGGAGCTGATGTGTAATTACTGGATTTATTTAACCCTAATCCAAAGCCCATGAATGCATACGTGCATACCCAACCCGCCTCTCCCAAACTAACGGAGAAGACCCTTCTCCATCCAACCAAACGCTTCATTCTTTTTTTTTTCCCCGCCAAAATGTTCTGTCTTTTTATTAATTAAATTAAATGAAAATGAAATAGTTTTTTGTCCCGAAAGATTCAGAAAACAGAGCTACAAGGGTCGACAACAAAACGATCCACAAGGCAGTTCCTTGATCTCCTTCTCCGACGGTCGGTTCAATATCACTCCGGTGACTTGTTCGTGGTCGATCCCATCTCCAGGCTCCACCTTACGCTTTGATTTCAGATCAAAGGCGAAGGAATTTGTTCCTTCGCGGGCCTCTGTCACCATCGAAAAGTGCCGCCGTCCATGATTTTTCATCTTCCTTTTCATTCTGTACAACATGAATAGGATCCAGTGAAGAAGATGCTTACTCCGGATCATAAACATCGTCTTACAGCTCAACAAGTGTTTGTTATTTTCAACACCTCCCCCAAAATGTACAAATAACTCGTGTATATGTTCCGGAGAAGGGCTAACTCCACCACTTCTCTTTAGGCTGGTATTGATGGTGATTTGTCCTGGTAAAATACTTTTTGTATAGCTGGTAGCGCAGGTATTGGGAAAGTGGCTTCAAGGAGGTAATGCTATCTTGTTTAAAGGATAGCCATGGTCAACGGTTGGTCTAAGTGATCATAAGAAGTAGTTTAAGTTCTATCTTAGTACATCGACACAGATCAGAAATGGTGGCAGTATTACTGGTGATTTTGTATCATTTGCTTGCTGCTGGTTTCCCCCCCCCCCCCATCTTAGTGCCTGTTTCTTTTGGTTGGATCTAAAATTCTCAGCATTCCGGATTGATGGGATGTATTATTTGTGATTTAGTATGTTGCTAAGCTTGTAAGTTCTGGCTTTCTGCTACTTCCTTCTCTGGTTGGTACTTTTTCTGACCCGAGTGTGTAATTGATCTTAATCAAATCACTAAATCTAAGGCAACAAATTTGGGTTAACACTTGTAACAAATTTAGGGTTGACTCCGGAATGAGAGTTTACAGAAAACTGATTTACGCCATGCTCTCTATGTGCCTTGTAGCTTTCTTGCTCCTCTTCGTAGAGGATCATGGTGAATTACAAGTCCATTAAGAATATGACATATGAACATCATGTTGTATTGCTATTGGAGGGTTGTATGTGATAGGGGAGCTCGCTTGTCTCTTTGACATTCTTCTCTTCTTCTTCTGTACAAGCTAGCTAGTTTCTTGTCTGGTTGATAAAATTCACTGCTTCTTGACTTTAGCAGCCAGTGATTCGGGAGACAATAACAGCACCTGGCATGCTGTGTCGTCCAAATCCATGATAATTTAGGTCTAATAGCTAAATCACCCTGTACGCACCCACAACCAAATCATATGACATAATTTAGTCTACTAGTGCATACAATATGCATCAAGCAGCAACTGCTCTGCATATTTTCTGGAAAACTAGTCCTCTAATGATCATAAAACAAAAGCCAAACATTGAACTACTGCAGATGAATAAAATGCCCTTCTACTCGCAGGTAGAATCAATTCCATGAACCCTGTGTTCCATCAGAATCAAGTGCTTCTAGATTTTTGTATCTTTCAATTGCACATCTAGAGGTTGCCATGAAGAATGCAACCACACATGAACTAGTAACTAAAACCAAACACTACTGGCATGGTCCTGTCCTGAAGAAGACAACAACGACCCCAACCATGTTCTATATAGTCTTCCACAAGGCTGAATTCCTGAAACTGACAGTCAACACCATAGAAGCTTGCCTGCTTGAAATCCATACATGTAACAAGGGAAAGCATCATAATCATCCACTTCAAAGTCCAAACTACTTTTATTGCTAATGAGCCAAACATACAACAAGAGAAAGCCTGACAATTATTCACTTTACACTACACGTACAGATACACTATTACATAGAGTTGTAGTATTCAAAATCAATTTCATGAGCCAAGCATGGAACAACAACTACCAACTCAAAACTAACACTCAACAAACTACCCCAAATCTGCCAAAGCAAGCAAAAGAACCACGTATTGCAATGAACTACTTTTGGACAGAAAACAAAGAAAGACAAAGAAAAAAGGACCAACAAGAAAACAGGGCTCCTATTGCAGCATCCGTGACTTAACACTTCAGAGGCAAAAGGGAACTACAAAAATTGCAGGGGCAATCAACCCCAATCGTTGTCCAACAACAGAACATCGTCATAGCATAGAACCCTCTGCTGCTCTGTAAACCGAGTAATACTAGGGAAAAACATGAAACCGACCGTCCGACGTGACTTTGCAACTTCCGAGCAGAGGCGGAAGAGTTAAAACAATGACCCGACCCATTGTCATACATCTTCAAATACACATTCCTCGAATTACCTGCCAACCTTTAGATTCGATGGGCAAAGTCGCTCCAATCAGAGGTAGGCCACCGACACTGCTGTTCAATGGAGAGAGAGGCGGCGGAGTTGTTCAATGGAGAGAGGCCCGCGAACACTACGAATTCCTTCCCCTCTGTTTTTCCGAATAAATTTAGGAGGAAACAGGACGGGATCAATCGAGCCGTTAGATATACCTTGGAGATGAGATCGATGACAGACAACTAACTCGCGGGGATTAAATTTGGAGAGTCCGCCGGAGTGAGCGACAGCAGAAGTGAGCTTGATTCGTTTGGTCTGGTGGTCGATCAATGTTTTTCAGTTTTCTTTTTCTGCCAAAAACAGAACTAAGCAGTTGATTGAAAGTTAATTTAATTAATGAAAATACAAAACAATAGAAAGTGTAGGACGGAGAACGGGTTCGCCGTTAGTTTGGGACAGACGGATTGGACCACTTCTAATGGGCTAGTCGGTTTGGGCTGGGATTTAATACGTTCACCAATGCCACATCATTACCTATGTGGACCAATCAGATGAAGCGGCACCGATACCGCACTTTTCATAGCGGCACCATAGTATTGGCCCTACGTCAAATATGTTGGCCTACCCCTTGGGCTTCAGGCCCGTATTCATGAACTATACAAATATTGTTAGCCCATTAGCTTCTAGTAAGACTCTGCGGAGCTTATCAAGTTTGAGTTGGGCCCTCCGCCTACAATCTTTTTTCCTTTGGATTTCGGCCTGCCAATGATATCTTGGGTCAAAGATTTGATTGGGCTAGGTTAACTTTCCAGGACAAGCTTTGACAATGTTTAGTCCACGACTTGAAACGAAAGAGTAAAGACACTAAAAGCAACTAAGCAAGCAACAGCTTCCATTACCATCCTTAAAAACACTACAAACCATCTTTCAGAAACTACCCATCATTCATACAAAACCAAAATCTACAGATCTACGGGGTTGCCTATTCGGGGGGTTAAACAAACTCTATACATGCGCGGCAGGAGGAGACAGACACTTGACATCTTCAAACCGGAGTGTCGGACAAAAAGAAGGCGAGGGAACTAAGGTTGGGCGGGCAGCAAGCTGCTCTCACTGGCTAGACGCGAAGGAGAGCTCGTTGGGCTTCCAGAGACCTGAGAGCAGATTCGTTGAAGTGCTTACCATTTGGTAGCAGCAACCCGCCTTCACGCGGTAGCATGATCTGTCTAGCATTGGGGCCACCATCACCGGGAGCTGGCGAAACTTCCTTCATCTGCTTGACATACTTAAAGAACGCAGAAACCTGGCGCGCATAGCTTGAGAAAAAGAGATTAAACAGTACATTAGTTCATCTGCAGATGGACTATAGTGAAGAAATGTGCAAGTAAAGCAATAAGACACCAAGGTCTCACAAGCTCATTTAGATGGGTAATATCAGGGGAATTGGATCAGGATTCGGTTAGTTTCGTTCACCTCTAATCTTATCCACAGTTCACTAATACTTGAATTATCTAAGTTAGAAGGAAAAGAAATAGTACTAAAGACGAAAATATGATACTTACTGCTCTTTGGCTTCTGTATCCCTGTTAAGGTCAATGTTTGCTTCACAATCCAGAACCAGAGCCGGAACCTAACAATAACCAGGATAGGATTACAACCACCTTTCTCCATAATCAAGTGGTTTCCCTAATAGTAAAGGCAATATATCATACCTTCTGAATGCTGGAATGCATGTGATCACCTTGCAAGAAGAACACTTGATCCCTTATATCAGGATGTATCGAGCTATCAAGTTGCAAAGGAGGCCTACTGACAGAAAAGACACCATGATCCCCAGTCTCAGAGGGGAACAGCCAGCTCTCATGCTTTTCATGCAAGTCTCGAAGATAGTCTAGGGAAACTCCACCCTCTTCTTCCCTCTTTCGATGCTTCATTCTCTTGTGACAAGTGTCAGGGGTCGCTCTGAGATAGATGAACCCATCTGGGATAAGACCGGGTAGAACTGATACAACCGGATCAAACCATGAGTCATAGATGCTTATCTCCATCTCATTCATCCATTTCGCTTCATGCACTGCTCGTACAAACACCTTTTCAACAAAAAAAAAAAAAAAAAAAACCCCAACATACTGAGTAGTGAGTAATAACACAGAGAGAAACAAAGGATAAACTCCATAGGGAACAGTCATCCCTCCAGAAAACCACTGGTCGTGGCTTCATTTCAAAACACCAACTTCAATATGATAATTGACAAGGCAAATGACGAGATATCATCAAATTTCAAAATAGCTTACCATTCGGTCACTGAAAACGCTTCGCTCCAAGAGCCTAAGAGGCTTCAGCCCAATTGACGACTCTCGTTCCTGCATAACCCTTGTGACGAAAACATAGTTCTGGAACGTGTACGCATACCTGTCTGGCTGAGCATAGAATGCATCCAGTATATTGAAGTGGTCAGGCCCTATATCCTGCCACTTATCAATCGGTTCTGGCACCACTTCAACAAGGTCTCTGAGCTCAATCGTATCACTGACTATCTTCTGAAGAAATGTAGTCTTTCCAACACTGATGTTACCCTCCACGCAGAACGTAATCCGCTTCTTCGGAATGTGACGGGCATCCGAGCTTGTATCTTTCAGCTCTTCATCTACACTCTCTTTGACGAACGTTGTTATGCTCTCGGCATGGTTTCGGTGGATAATCCCTACTGAACTCCGTAAATACTCCACCATTGTCTCATTTTCTTTCCCTAGAAACTGCCATTTTCCCAAGCGCATATAGAGTTCAAATTAGCTACAGTTCTAAAGGGTATGATTCAATTCAAGCAAATTCAAAAAAGGTTTCAGCAAATGTTACCTTGTCCTTGTACAGCTGCTTGAGCTCAGCCATGCCGCTCAGCCCTTTCTCCACTAATTTCCTCAAGTTCTTAGGGCCAACACCAGGAATTGTCAACAAATCAGCGTTACTGACGGCGTCGCCGCTCGGCGAGCCCCTCTGCCGCCGGCTTATCTTCCCCTGCTGCTTCTCCTTCTCTTCGCCGCCGCCGCCGTCGTCATTTTCACTGTTCTCGCTTCCATCATCCCCACCGCACTTAAGCCCTTCAACAGCGGCCGCAGATGCATTAGCAGCAGCAGAGCCCACCTGCTCCGCGGCCGAGAGCGTGCGGCGGCAGAGGAAACGACCTACCTGCCAGGCCCGGAGCGGGGTTCCAGCTGCTGTGGTCCTCCCGGCCCCTTCGATTGCGCTGCGGCAGGCGCTGTAAAGCGTGGAATACGAGCGAGAACACGCGGCTTCCGCCTTGGGAGCCGTTAAGGAAGGATTCGGGAAGAAAGAGGAGGCGGCGGCGGTGGAGGAGAAAGCGGCGGCGTGGCAGGGCATTGAGAGGAGAGAAGAAGAGGGTTTTGAAGGGGGAGCTCTGAAGAATTTAGAGAGAGTGGGTTTAAAAAGAGAGGAAGAACAGAGGAGCGGTGTGCTCCTTGACGGGCTCCGTTGCAACGACACCTTCATCTCCGGCGCCGACAACAAGCATTATCTCCCTCGGCGGCGAAGGTAGAGACGAGTGACAGGAAGGCGGGAAACGGAGTACAGGGACAGTGAAGTTAAAAAAGAGCAGAGAAATTGTAAAGGGTGAGAAACGAAAGGAAAACAGAAGGAAGAAAGGGAGTAGAGATTAGAGAAAGTGTGAAGAAGGGCTTTAGGTTGAAGAAGACGAAGAAGGTAGAGGAATTTCCACTCTGTGTGTTTAGGGTTTTTGCTGTCTGTCTCAGCTCAGCGGTCTTCACTCTTCCCACGGTTTGTGTTTGTTTTTTTAATTAATTAAAAAAAATTCTTTTTCCTTTTCCTGGCGTGGAGTTTATTGTAATTAATTAATTTTGTTTGCTCAACGAAAAGGCCAAAAAGGACGAACGAGGGGGAGAGAGAGAGAGCAGAGCAGAGAAGAATCAAAAACATGGGCTGGCCTTTCGGTTTTCGTGACCCGAGTTTGGACTGGGCTGAATCGGAGAATTGATCCATCATAATTCACTAAAATTGGGCTGCAACGACATGATCCAATGGAATTGTCGGGGGTGGACATTGGATAAGTTGGGCGGATTCTGACCATAAAACGCACTCAACCGCGCTAAGACGGATTGATAATTTTTAACCACCCTCATCTATATTTAGTCGCAGGTTGGGTCGGATGGATGATAGATGACGCATGTACAATGTATATAATATAGAGGAGTAATTTGACATGATAATCGGTGGAGAGAGTTATCGGGCGAAAACAAGATGGCATATGGGAAAAAAGATCGAATTAGTTATGAAATTGGATGAAAATTATATTATGGATGAGTTTTATATAGATGTAGATGATTATCAACTGCAGGGAACTAAGGAAATATAATTCAACGGAGGAAAGAGAGGAGATCTAGGCACAAGAATCGGAGGAAAATATAAAGGGAAGAAGAGGGGATCGTTATTTCGAAGGTTGGCTTTGAGTTTCAATCTCCAGGAGCAGTCCTAGTTTCCGTCTAACATCTCCACTCTCCCCCCCTCCAGCGCCAACAACTTTGTTCTTTTTGTTGTTGGGTTAAGCGGTCACCAGTGCACCCGTCCATAACCCATCCGCCACCCCCCACAGACCCATGCACATAAGAAATTCGAGTCAAATGCGGATGGGTCGGCCAAAACTCGTAGGTGATCCGCTCGCATACACAGCCCTAGTTGTAAGTATACCGAGAGTGTCTGTTAGTTTTTATCATAATTTGAATTTGGTTGAGATTGTTACAATATTTGTATTGTTAATAATACATCATTTTTTCTGTACAAATATACAAATATGATTTGCTTATCATGATACAAACTATCATTTGAAATGAAAGATATTAAATCATATATTTTAGTTGAGATGGGTTGAGTGAGATTGCTATGTTTTTTTTTTTTTGGTCCAACTATATCCCTAGCTCATTGTATGTGTTCTTCAAGGTTGAAAATGAATCAAACTGTTCACGAGCAGCTTGACATCAGGCTAGAGAAACACTCGTTTTGACACTCGACTCGAGACGTGTTTAAGCCAAGCATTGTTCGGCTCGTAAGGCTTGTGAGCCATCTTGACTCGCTGGCTTGTTGAACTCAACTCGTGAGTTAGTTCGTTTTTTAGCTATGAGCTGGCTCGACAATATGGCTAGCGAGCCACCTCAACTAGAGACTGTATGAGGGAATAATTTAATAGCTTATCATTGACTTGTTGATAATTATGTGTTTGTTATATTATATATCTCATCACGTATGATGTTTATGAATGCATGCACATTGTTAAAATATGTCCCATTCATAATTTAAAAAATAAATTATGTATCATAATTTGCTCATATACTAATTGCTGTTAAATAATGTGATATTAACAATTTAAAATTATGAACGAAATAATATGACTTCGTAGCTCGAGCCAATCTCGCTAGCTAATTGATGAGCCAAACTCGAGAGCTCATTAACGAATCAAGCTTGAGTCGAGCTCTGATCAAACACAAATCATGATTTTAGTAAACAAACCAAGTTCAAACTCGACTCGTTAGCTATATCAAAACTCAACTGGATTCGATTCAACTTATGTATTTTTTTCAATAAATTAACTAAAAAAAACCCAAATGATAAATCAAAATACACCAACCTCATAGCCAATAAACCCTAATTTAATAACGACCCCATCCATCAACACCTCAACCACAAATCTCACCTATACTTCCAACTACCTCACTCTTGTTTTTTCACTTGCCTTTATTACGATCTCCACTTCCATCCTTATCGTCATAACTTCTGTTCTACTGATCGTTTTCACCATGGAAACAGTGAACATGGTCTCAAATCTCAATAGTTGCTTAATTGGCAATGGGGGAACATGGCTCTTGAGTATGATCCACATAAAAGCACGAGGAAACAAATTTCATTTCGATGGATCATCCATCCGCAAGAAAAAGAGGAATACAAGATGGGGACATTAATGCTAAATCAAAAACTTGCCATGGAAGAAAAATATGTATCTCCAACTTATTCATTAGTTGATCGTTTGACTCGTTGAAGTTTAACGATTTACATATATTCACATTTCGTAATCAAATCGATATAGACATTTATTATTGGATTTTGTCTAACACAATTGAAGTTTCTACCATTCACACTAGTACATTGGAGGTAATGGGGTTTCCCTCATTTAAAAAAAAACAATTTACTTGTTGATTTTTAGCTTGTTTCGAACCGATAACATTTATTCCTATGCTATAAGTGGTTCATCCCACTTAAAAATTGTTGTGGAAATAGTTAAACGATAAATTCACATGACTCAAGTTAAGACGATATCTTTATGGAGTTGATGTTATTGTGACATTGCTAGACTAGATACTTATTAACCATTTTTTTTACCATTGGTATCCCCAATAGGGAAACAATGTAGATACAAAAATATACAAGACTTTTGCCTGTCATGTCACAGAATGAAACTAAGATAAAAACGTTGGTCGACAAGTATACGGTCCAACGATACAATGACTTTTTTTTACAACAGAATGGATAACCCTATTATACGTACAAGGTACGAGGCACGAAGTGAAATGTTGCCCACCACTAGCACCTAAACTTCTTGTATGCGGTGGGTTAAACATTTGTTACTTGTCTTATATTAGTATGATTACTTACTTATTTATTATTATAAAAGTATGCCGTTGGTTAATTAGTTAACGTTAAATCAGGAATTAGAAAAGGATAGAAAATTCCAAACATGCTAATCGATCCTCCCAGACCAGATTTGAAGAAAATAAATCATATATATATATTTTCCACTGCCTTTTTTGACATTCCAAGAACAGGAAATAAATTCCCCTCTGCCCAGAGAGAAAAATAAGCGGGGGAAACAAAAAGAAATCAATCAATAAACAACGCGCTCTCTGTAAGAAAAGTCGGTAACTCGGACTCGGAACCCGTGATGACGCCTTTAATTCCCCGCTTCCCCGACTCAGTCTGACTCAGTTCCCAACTCACTCCCCACACACAGCCAGAGCTTTCTTCTTCCACCACCGTCATCTTCAATCTTCATCAGCCCAACACGAACCTCTCTTTCTCTCTATTTGCTGCTGTCTCTTCATTTTCAGCTCCGATTCGATTCTCCATTCCGAACTTCCACTCTCCATTAATAGCTTCTCCCAAAATGCGGATCTCTGCCTCCGCCGCGCGCTGAACGCCGGATTTCCTTCCACGACCATTCCTTCCGTCCGTCCTTCCGACCGGCCATGCACGGCTACAGCCGTCTCGGCTCCTCCGGCCGCTCCGTCACCGCCACCACCACGCCTTCCCCGCCCTCGTCGCCGCGCCTCCGCCGCGGCGGAGGCGCGGCATCAGCAACTTTCAAGTCGCCGAACGGCGGAGGAGTGTTCGGCGCCGGGAAAGGGAGCAGCGCGGCTGCGGGGAAGGAGAATTCGGTGGAGAGATTCGTTTTTCTGGTGATATCTCTGGTTTTCAGGCGGCGAGGCCTGCTGCTTTTCGCGCCGTTGCTGTACATATCCTGGGTGTTGTTGTACATGGGATCGCTGGGATTCGATGTTGATTTGGATTTGAAGCGCGGCGTCGTCGGCGGAGTCGTTGTCCGGAAGAGCGCGCCCCGGGGGTCGGTGTACCGGAGCTCTCAGGTGTTCAAGAAGCTCTGGCCGTACATGGAGGCCGAGAGTCGGAGCAATGGCAGCTTCAATGCGGTGATGGATCCATTTTGATTTTGAAATTCGATTGATTGATTGAAGTTTTTTGTCGGTTTGTTTTTGTTTTTTTGCCTAATCGCCTAGTTAGTGATCAACACTTAGCTCTTTGTGCTTGGATTTGAAGCTTTGCAGTCGCTTTCTCTGATTATAAATTAGATACCAAACTAAGCCATTATCAACTGTAATGCACTGATTATTACTATAAATCTTTTTGCTTTATTCTGAACTTGTGTGAAATGGATAATGCAGTTGATGAGAACTTGGGACCCGAGTTTGCTTCAAGACTGGAAGCCTTGTGTCAATGGCAATGCATCGGCATCTAATGCAGGTTTGATTACTCTGCTTATTCCTTCTGTAATCAATATTTTTCGGGGTCGATCATGAACCTGAACTAAGCTTAAATCGCGGATTTAGACATTCTGGAAATGGATGCCGATCGATGCTTTTGCAAGCTCATACATGATTAAAGAATTTAACTTTAGCTCCGGATGCTACCTAAAAGAGCTTTTGAAACATTATTTGGGCTGGTTGCTTAATTCAGTTGTTACTTTCATTTGGATGAACTTTTTGAGTCAATTACGTAGACAATTGCATCTATTTTTGTTTTCTTATTGATGTTTATCATTGTTAAGGTGTATCTATGCAATCCACCTTATTTGTGGTTGGTCATGTTGTATGATAGTGAAAGAATTAAAATTTCTGACCTCTACATTATTGTTATTAGGATTGGCAAAGTCAAATGGCTTCCTGATAATTGAAGCAAATGGTGGATTGAACCAACAACGCTTATCGGTATGTTCTCTTGTTTGAGGAAGGGTGTAGGCTCCTTTTTGTTTTCAACTTCACTACTGTTCTTAACCGTTTAATGAGATAGGCAGTCGGCAGTTTGTTATGCTCTTGGCCAATTTGGGGTTATTTAAGATTAAAAGAGGCATCTTCGAACCCTGTGTAAATTGGTTTAGCATCATATTCTCAGAGCATTTATGTAGTCTTGAGATGCAATTTGAGAGACTTTTTTCGTTCCTCCTTGATGCAGATATGTGACGCAGTTGCTGTAGCAGGATTTTTGAATGCGACTCTCGTCATTCCGATATTCCATTTGAACAGCGTTTGGCGTGATTCCAGGTGATTATAGTTGCTAAATTTGGCGCTTCTGGTGCTCTCTGTCTTACCTTATGGTCAGGCAAATATCTTGATTCCAAGGCTACTGAATTACGCTAGGTGGTTAATATGTTCAGATGTGGAGATGAATCCTTATATATACATCTTCGATTAACTATAGTTAAGGGAAAGCTATTCATTTTATCGTCTGTTCTCTGTATCGCAGCAAATTTGGGGACATATTTGATGAAGAGTTCTTCATAGATTCTCTGAAGGATAGAGTGAATGTAGTTCGCCAACTCCCAAAAGATGTTCTTGAGCAGTTTGATAATAACATAAGCAGCATTGTAAATTTGAGAGTCAAAGGATGGTCTAGCCCAACCTACTATCTTCAGAAGGTGCTCCCCAAGCTGAAAGAAATGAGGTGTGCCATTCTCCTGTGCTAATGAATTTATTTGGATTTTCGTTTTCATTGCAGCACTTGTAGTTACTAGTTTCCTATAATTGCAGGGCTGTGCGTATTGCACCATTCTCCAATAGGCTGGCTCATGCAGTTCCTCCCAATGTACAGGACCTGAGATGCTTGGCAAATTTTAAGGCACTTAGATTTTCAGAGTCATTGAGAACCCTTGGGGAGAAAATGGTTGATCGGATGATCCGTAATAGTTCTCACACTGGAGGAAAGTATGTCTCTGTTCATCTTAGATTTGAAGAGGTTGGTAACTTAGCATGAGAAAGTTTGATGAGTTCTTTTTTCTCCTGTGGATTTACGTATGTAGATAAATTGCATCCTCTCCTTCTTACAGGATATGGTTGCCTTTTCATGCTGTGAGTATGACGGCGGGGAAGAAGAGAAACTTGAAATGGATCTTGCTCGAGAAAGAAGTTGGAGAGGGAAATTCAGGAGAAGGGGTAGAGTAATAAGACCAGGGGCGAATAGAATGGATGGGAAATGTCCTCTCACTCCATTGGAGGTTCTCTCTCTCTCTCTCTAACTGGGTGTTGTTTTATTCGGAGTTCTGTTGGCTTAAGATTTAAATTAGTGAAGTAACTAGGTGATCATGAAATCAATCCTATATTGCAAATCCACTAAACCAGCAAAATTCAAATGATCATTGTAGTGCGGCCTATTTCAACTCTCCAAACCTAAAAGATTTTGCTAAGAGTAAAGCCGAGTAAGATTCTTTGTTTGATGAGAAGTCTTTGGTCAATGGCTTTGGGACTTGCAACTGATAATTCCTGGATTGCATTGTCAAAAGGTGGCACACTGTGTATCTACCATATAAATTTTCCTGGTTTAGTTTCCCCTTTTAGGTTTGAAGACAATACTGCTAAACCATGGCCCTCCACCTGATCAATTGATCATCACAGCCACTATTTTCCCCTTGCAGGTTGGAATGATGCTTCGTGGGATGGGGTTTGACAGCAGCACACCATTATATGTTGCAGCTGGCAATATTTACAAGGCAGAGAAGTATATGGCTCCACTGAAACAGATGTTCCCACGCTTGGAAACGAAGGAGACACTTGCCACTCCAGAGGAACTTGCCCCATTCAAGGTATCAAATCCATTTCTGGTACTTTTTTTTGTTGCGTAAGATTAGAAGAAGCTATGGGCAAGTTAAAAATTGTGAACCCTGAAATTTGCAATGTAGGGCTACTCGTCTAGGTTTGCCGCGCTTGATTACACAGTTTGCCTGCACAGTGAAGTCTTTGTGACCACTCAAGGAGGAAATTTTCCACACTTCTTGATGGGTCACAGGCGTTACTTATATGGAGGGCATTCAAAAACTATCAGACCCGACAAGAGGAAGTTGGCTATCTTGTTCGATAGCCCCAGCATCAGGTACCTTTACCGTTCGCCTCTTAAACTCTTCTTCTCCACCAGATAGTGTTAGAGTGGAATGTTATCCCTAGCGAATTGAAGCCTTCTCCGTTGAAAGGTTGTAAAAGTGTCAGACCAGTCGTATAGTAGAGGACTAGAATCAGGATCGAAAGAAATAAAGAAGCCCCTAAACTACAACACATGTATTGAATTGAACGAATGTGTGCAGATGGGAGGTGTTCAAGCGACAAATGAGAGACATGCTCCGACACAGCGATGTCAAGGGTTGCGAGCTGAGAAAATCCGGTGCATCACTATACACATTTCCCATGCCCGACTGCATGTGTAGGACGTCGCCAAATGAAGCTCCAAAAGATCTCTCTCCCCATAACCTTACAGTGGATGCCAAGAGAAGATGATGATGATGATGATGGCTGTTGTTTCAGTGTGAGTGTGACCTTAATTTATTACTCTTTCAGATTCTTCATTGTACCATAAACGAATTGTAGCTGAAATAGTACTTCCCAGAAGAGGAAAAAGGGAAAAGAAGACAAGAAGTGAGACAATTAGTAGGGATTAGATTAATTCTTCTTTAGGGTTAGAGAGTTGTTTGGCAGGGTAATGGGTATATAGAGTAATTATTTTGTTGACTACTACTTATTCTTTTGGAGACAGTAGTGTTGTAGCCTCCACGATCCTCTACAGATATATGTGATTTGACTTTCTGCTCCCTCAAAACACAGTATTTTGTGTACATTGGTGAAAGGAAAATTATGTAAATGAACCATCATACTCCTGCTTGAGCTTATCTTTGTTGGTTTTGGTTTTGACTGATGAATTCTAATTTACTTTTGGTGTATTTGGTGGTTCGAAGTGTGTACATTCATGCCAACCAAATCTTGTAGCTCGTCGTATAAAGGTCTATCGGGGTCTTTGAGTCCTAAGATTTAGAGTCGAGTGCCCTAACTCTCCGTAAATGGCTTGAGTCATGCTTTGAAATACTCTCATTAGGCCACGTTCAAGTCTCATCTTTTGTCTATATAAAAGACTGCTCTTCCCTTTCAAATCGCTGAGGCCAAAGGTAGAAGAAAATAAGCGATTATAGAGATAGGTGAAAGATTTGACGAGGGAGGGAGAAGAGTCGATAATAACCTGGTGTTCAAACGACCTACCCATGCCATCACCTCTAACAACCGTAGGAAATCACTTTTCTATAGATTGAATAGTGCAATATAGAGAACGTTAGTGTGCCTCATTGTAAATCTCATTTCTAATTGTCCACTTATAAGTCATAAGGTGAACAACCTTATCTGACCAAGAGCTTGAGCAATCCCTTATCAACATCTTACATCTATTTTTCGATTCGATCTCAATATTGATTCATTCTATTTCTCAACTGTTACCAAACAAAACACGATTAATCGAAAACGGAATACCCTAACTAGAAATGCATTATATCCCCCAAAACCTCAGGACCAATTTGTCCACCATCTGAAACTTTAAGTACCATTCTGCCAATGTAACAATTGAAGTTGGTTTGCGGTTTGTTGGACTCGAGAGAGTCGAAAGTCGAAACACTATTTTCTTACACGGGCCCCTGAAACTTCGTTTTTCGTCCTTTCTTTTCTTTCAACCTTTCCCCAATTACTTCATCAGTCATTTCTTCCTTCCATCCGAAGCTCTGAATTCCGCCATGAAAGCAATCTATTGAAGCAAAAGCGGAAAAATCCTTTACAACTGCTCCTCTAACGGAATATCAAGAAGCAGAATAAAATGAGCGCCGCGACTGACAGGACCGACACTGCCGGCAATCTCAGCAAAAATGGCAACACCACCAACCGCCAAGATCCCGCTTCTTACTTCCTCGCACTGGCGCGGCAGGGCTCGCCTCCGACGGACGGGGTGACGGGCGCGGCGGAGGAGGACTGCGAGCGGGAAGATGTCCCGACGGAGCTCAACACGATCAACAGTTCCGGGGGGTTTGTGGTGGTGTCGACGGATAAGCTCTCGTTGAAGTACACGAATGTCAATCTCCACGGGCACGACGTCGGAGCTGTTCAGGCGAACAAGCCGGCTCCCGTCAAGCGGCTCGTGTATTACTTCGAGATGTATGTGAAGAATGCTGGTGCGAGGGGCCAGTTCGCGATTGGATTCACTAACGAGACTTTCAAGATGAGGAGGCAGCCCGGGTAATATGATCTTGAGTGCTACTTTTTTTTTGTGTTGAGGATGTTGAGGGAATATGGGAAATTCATTAGCGAATGATCTTAATTCAGCTGTGGTGTTTGCTTTCTTGACCGGGAATCTTGATTTGGTTGGAAGTGGTAAGTCTATGCTATTGCTAATTGGATCTGTTTGGTTGATAGAAGAACCAAATTACGTGATTTGATAGTACCCTAGGGAAGAAAAGATTCTTGATTGAGTAATTATACTTGTTGATTGTGACAAGTAACTATTCATTCATATGATATTCAAGTTATGAAGATGGGAAGAGTGTTTGTTGGTGCACAGTTCGTGATAGTCCATTAAGTACAGAATTTGGTCAATGGGGCTCCTTTCTAGGATGCCGATTCATGAAATTGAGTGAAGGAGCAACAAAAACCTATTGACAGAGGTAATCAACTAATCATTCTGATTGGGGAATAGGCCCACGTTACCATCTTGCAATCATGAGAGCTAGGAGGACTAGAGTGACAAGCAAAGAACCCAGGCCAATTATCTCTGCTTGTATTGTGTAGGGAATTTGGCTTAACCTCTCATCTTCGCTACATATAGGTGCTGCTTTTCCTGCTCATAGGATCTTTGCATTGTATGCGATTGAGACACAGGAGTAAAAGAAAGCGATTTGCCAATCATTAGGGGGTCTGTGTTCCACTGTCATTGATGGAATTTAGGTGCTTATAGGGCAGTACTCTCCAACAGAACTTCAGTTATTATCTTGGCAGGAAGGATGGTTAGAATTCTTTCAGGATGTATTAGTTAACATTCTCTGCAGTAATAATCATTCCCATATGTAGATGAGGCCGATGGTCTGCAGTTACGTAACAGAATTTCGGCCTTTAGTTTCATCTGATGTAGTGTTCCGTGCTTGCTGTTCTTTGCTTCATTATTAATATAATTTTTTTGTTTCCAATTTATAGGTGGGAAGCTAACACTTGTGGGTATCATGGGGATGATGGCCATCTTTATCATGGTCATGGAAAAGGACAGCCTTTTGGGCCAACATTTACAACCAATGATACTGTTGGCGCTGGTATTAACTATGGTTCACTGGAGTTCTTTTTCACGTAAGAAACTTTTGCCATCATACTTTTCCCCACTCAGCCGAGCGAATGCTTTATAGATTTCTGATATCTCTATACTGTGACTTCACTTCAACACTTCACACTCTGTTCCTTTTTGAAATCCCTATAATTTTGGTTTCAGTAAAAATGGAGCAATTGTTGGAGCAGTCAAAAAGGAGATCACGGGTGCCTTATTCCCTACAGTTTCTGTTCACAGCCAGAACGAGGAGTATGTAACCTTTCGTCCTTTCCAAAACTTCTGCTGAATTATTTCTGCTGCTAAGGCAATTTGCTTGTGTACTTTACTCCTTTCGTGTGAGGTTTACTATTGGGTGTGTAGTTTTTTCTGGCTGATGTTTAGTTCCTCTAGAAAGAGAATTGAACTAAATGTGCTGATGTTATTCTTGTTGGGTTTTTGCGCAATCTGTCTCCTTTTGATGAAGGATAAATACCGAAGAAGTCTTACAGTGGTGTATTGTGATTGATTTCAGTCCTATATTTAAGTGATCTTTAAACTCAATTATTAGTTGTTGCTCATATTCTCTTAATTTGTATTTATTGGAACTAGTTTTATCATTATGTGAGATCCAGCATTCTCGTTTTAATTTCCCTCACTCTCTCAGGATTGAAGTTAACTTCGGTCAAAAGCAATTTGCATTTGATATCAAGGTAAGTTGCTCATTATTTCTTCTTCACTGTGCTTCTGTTGGATTAACTTAAGAGTTTGTCTGACAGCATTTTTTATTAACGAGGGAAAAACATGGTCTCGTAGTGTACTTGCCAATTGTCTATGCTAATCCATGTATTTGAGTATTCGTGGATACTTATTGGTGCTCACTCGTCATGGCTCCAATGTATTTTTAAAGCTCCCTGCTTACACTGGTCTGGTCTTATTGATTTAGATACTTATTGGTGCTCACTCGTCATGGCTCCAATGTATTTTTAAAGCTCCCTGCTTACACTGGTCTGGTCTTAATGATTTGGATAGTTTTTTCTCAAGGGATAGATTCCTGAATTCTCTGGTGTTTAGTTGAAGCTCTTAGCATTCAAGTCATTGTACTTTGTTGGATTTTCCTTCCTAGGGGCGATTGGTGGTTATTACAGATATTGCCTTTCTTACCCTTGTTTCCGTTCTATTAGGAATATGAAACACGGGAAAGGATGAAGCAACACCTGAGAATTGATAAAACACCTTTGTCGCCAAATGCCAGCTACAAGTAAGTTCACTTCACGTTATCAAAACAACTGCTATTGCTGTGAAGTCTGGAGAAAAGGGAATCACTTCTGGCGAGGAGTGCATTTATTTGTGCTGAAAGGGTTGTGATTTTCCCTGTTAAGTTCTTCCATTCACAAGAGGAAAACTTATTCCAACTGGTTGTGACATTCGACTTGCGATCTGAAAATAGATAAAGCAGGCTTCCTTGTTTAATGAGATAACTGCTTCTAGATATATGTACAATTACATTCTGGATAATTGATTCATTTGAAGGAAATTATTTTATTCCTGTTTGAAAGAAAATGCTTTGCCCTGATTTTCCAGGCTAATATATCATTGTTGTTTGTAATTTTTTGAGCAGACTCATCCGGTCGTACTTGCTGCATTATGGATATGAAGAAACTCTCAATTCATTTGAGTTGGCTACTAAGAATACAGTTCCTCCAATATCCATGTCTCAGGAAAATGGCTCTGATGTGCAAGACATAATTTATGCATTAAATCAGAGAAGAGAGCTTAGACAGGTACTAAATTGTTTGATCACTGTCACCTTTATTTTTATGTAGTTTTATTGGTCTGAATTATTAGTTGTGGCAGTTCATCTTGTGATTGTGAATAGTTCCCCTAGCGATTGAATAAGTAAGCATAAGAGTGTAGGAACACTAAAGCAGTTCTTTTTTAAAACTGACGTAGAAGTTCTCTCCAGTGTAATGCATTGAAATACCATACCAACATTTCGCTAACTGTTTTCAAATGTACACATTTCCTTGGCACTCAATCCATGCAGCTAAATATGTGAACCACTGTCCCTGATATTGTTTTCATTATCCTTCTTAAAAGGGTTATAGGTATAATATGGCCCTCTACTATGACGTTTTATCAAACATGCCCCTCTACTATTTTTTACATCAAATATGCCCCTGTACTTTGAAAACATTATCAAACATGCCCTTCTGTTAAAATTTCCATTGAAAAAATTTTCAATCATGGTTGAATCGATATTTAGACGACCCGACATCGGCAAATGGGAGGAAAAATGTTAGTTTTGTCCCCTGTTTTATTGCTTTGGGTCTTTTCAAAGTGAAATTATTTGAATGATTTGATTATACAAAAGAACCAAAAAAATTCTATAGTGAAATTTTCAGGGATATTTTAGTCAATTGTGTCGCCCAAACTAAAGTTCGGCCTTGGTTAACGGTTTTTGGATGAAAATTTTAACAAAAGAGCATGTTCGATCATTTTTACAAAGTACAGGGGCATGTTTGATGTAACAAATAGTAGAGGGGCATGTTTGATAAAACGTCATAGTAGAGGGGCATATTATACCTATAACCCTTCTTAAAAGGCTCTTTTCTTCTTTCAGTTTTCTATTATTTTTTTGATAATGTCAGTTATTCTAATATTGAGTTTTTGTCTTTCTGTGCTCTACGAAGCTAATCAGAAATGGCGAGATTGATGCAGCAATTAACAAGATCCGTCAGTGGTTTCCACAGATTCTTGAGGTATCACTTCTTTTCTTCATCTTGAGTATGTGAAATAGCTTTGTCCAAGGAGAAAAGAATTTTGTGGCTTTCTTGTTTTGTACCCCTTTTCATTCTATACTCCCTTTAAATTTAATGTTGGTGAACAAACTCTGTCTATAAGTACACAAAATGAACCTCTTTATATCATTGATCTTTAAGGTACTTATACTCTTTTTATGGAACAGCCCAAACAAATATAATCAAAATTCTGATCCCAAAATCTTTTACATCTTTTTTCTGCATGCTAGATTGAACATTTTGAACTATTACCTGAAACTTGGCTCTTTTTTTTTTTTTGCACATTTATATGGTTTGTAAATGATAATGTGGGTTATGGCTCGCTGTACACACTAAGATACTGTTTTGTCTTAGTCTTCACCGCAGCCGCACTATCTTTTTCAGGATGACAAGTCAGCAACTTGTTTTCTGCTCCACTGTCAGAAATTCATTGAATTGGTTCGAGTAAGTTCTTTCTGCAAAATCTGGATATTCCCAACACTTCAAATACATCTTTCTCGTAGAGTCAGCAAGACTTCACTGCCTGTAGATTTTTTTTTTTACGAATATTAGAATTACAGACTCGTGAAAATGTATATATGTAGCTGTGCTTTTATATTTGCATTAGAGGTTCTTACGTGCAGTTTTTTCCACGGTAGGATCTTACTTGCTGTTTCAATGACACCAATTTGTAAACGTATGGAATATGTCTACATTATTGTATTGGTTGGTGCTAATTTTCTTTGTTGACAATGTGCTTTTAAGGTTGGTGAACTGGAGGAAGCTGTAAACTATGGAAGAATGGAATTGGCGAAGTTCTTTGAGTTGCCAGTGTACAATGATCTTGTTCAGGTACCTCAAAAAGTTGGCTGCCTCATGATAGTTATATTGCTTCGATTTGGGAACTTAATGCAGAGGGCTTCATCTGAAAGGTTATACACGGTGTTTCTTGCTCCTGCAGGATTGTGTAGCCTTGCTAGCATACGAGGAGCCACTGCAATCAGCAGTGGGCTATCTCCTAGAGGGCACGCAGCGAGAGACCGTTGCAGACACAGTAAACGCCATGGTGTTGCTGACGAATCCGAACGTGAAGGACTTACAAGGCTGCTTGCAGTCATATCTCGAGAGGGTAGTGAGGCAACTGACTGTTTGCTGTCTGGAGAAGCGGTCGTTGAGTGGTAAACAGGGCGAGGGGTTCAGTCTACGTAGGGCACTTAACAGTAACTACAATGCCAAGAGAAGCTAACCCCACCATGCAATAGGCGGGCAGGCAGAAAAGTGGGTTGATTTCTGGTACCCATCCGATGTTGACTTCTGTTGAATTTTGCCTGGAAGTTGAAAAATGCTTTTGGGTTCTTTTCTTACTGTACATATAGGATTTGTTGTTCAGAAAGATGCAGTCTTTTTGTTGTAAAGACCCATATGAATGTTGGCGCCAATGCGAAGAATTGAAATCCCTAAGCTCGTAGCTATTCCTGATAAATTCAGTGGTAAATAGCTCCTTATTGCTTTCAACATATGCAGCTTTAACAGTTTACTAGCTTTTATCTTTTCAGGTGTGCCTCTTGAACTGTACTTGGCTGTACTTTTATGCATATTTTGAAAGCAAGCCTAAATCACTTGGTCCTGTTTTTGCATGTGACCCTGATTGGTACTTCTGGACTTGCTGGATCTTATGTTGAACAAAGAGCTTAAAGTCCCGGAATCTGTGATCCGATTTGGCTTAGTTGCGAAAGTTTTTTTAGCTTGAAATCTGTGTTTGTCGATGGTTTCTATCAAGTTGCTGATCTTGGAAACTTTTTAAAATGGAGTTCGATTGTAGTTCAATAAAAAGCTTAGCTATTTCAAGATTTGCATTGATGTAATACTGTTCACGTCATTTCAGTTCCATTTAGCTGTATTTCACTGGAAGCAAAGGTTTCTTCAAGCAAATAAGGCCGACAACTTTTTCCCCTTGTGTTGGTGTATAATATCATCCATGTTGGAAAACGATCGATTTAAAAATAATAAGAAAGGATCTGTAACTGTAATCCTGGTTGTTTCCTTAGCAGATCATCGAAAACTATCTCATAGAATATTGATGTTCGTACAGTGAATTTCTTGATGGAATAGGATTGAACTTTTGATTTCCAATCTAGAATCTGATACGTGGGAATAGACATGACAATATGACAGAACAATAAACTTTGTATCCTTCCGCAGCAGTCTATCTTATTCTCAAACTCTTCCAAAAGTTCTCGTCTTTGTTGCAAGCTGCAAGAACTCTAAAGCAGCCTGGGTGATCCAGTGCCTTTCCGCCATAGCCAGGAATCAGAGGGAGACTTAGGCAGAGGTGGGAGCAAAACAGCCTTCCTGCAGAGACCGAATGGCCACCCTTGGCAGTGGCAGAGCTCCTGCAATATTGAAACCCGCCTGTGAAAACTTGGGAACTCTACCTGACTCAAGCTCGAACACCTCGACAACAAGTTTGTCTTCACTGAGAAGAACTCTTCGCCCCCCTTGCTCAACCCGCTCGAACAACATGAAAGACAGCTCCCAACAGAGAAGAAATCTTCATCCTTTTCAACTTCTCCATCCTTCTACTTCTCAGGACTAAAGAGCAGTTCTCCTGAATAGCTATCTGTGATCACAAACACCTTCTGCTTCGACTTCTCCATGGCTCTGCTCCTGATTGCTGACACGACAACCTGAAAAAAGAAACAATATAGTTATTTTCATAAAGACAAAAACAAATTCATGCGTGTTGTTTTTTGTATGTCCGTATAGGAAAATTGGAACGGTTTGAAAAAGTGGAAAGTACTTCGTGTTCATCAACATCTTCGAGCTCAGTTGTCGTGTTGGGAACATAATCCTCATCCTGCTGTTGCTGGAGAGAGCTTATGTGGCCGCCGCAAGATCGACAGATGGAGAAAGCATCTTTGAGAGTTGAAACCAGGAGGAACTTGCATTTCTTTGATGGGTTTTGGGGGGGTGGCTCTTCCTGATAGAACACACCCATTTTGATTCAGAGAAAGGAATTAGACAATACACAAAAAAGCTAAAACTTTGGTGGGGAAACTGATGCTTAACTTGGCTATAAAGAAGAAAGGAAGAAAGAGAGGAATGTGGGGGAAGGGAAAAAGTCTCAATCTTGAGTTGATGTCCAAATTGACCTCAAAGCTTGATGGTGGCTTTGCAGCTGCTCACCTCAAAGATAGTGCTAAGAGTGTTCTTGTTGTTGGCTTAAGGGTAAAGATAAAGTTTTTAATGGTACAAATCAGAAATTACCCACTTGAGATAAGGTGCTTATTTCGTCACTTTCAATCCCCCACTTTGAAGATGAAGCCTTGTTGTGGTGAAAAGGAGACAAGACATTACACCAAACTGTGTGTGACTGGTTTTCATTTTTCTTCCATTGCACCCTCCTTTTTTAAGTCGTTCATTACTGGAAAAATGATAACCGCCCATGAACAATCAATGTGAAAAAGAAACCTGAAAATTAACTGGGGGAGATGGAGATGGAGGCAGCTATGCCACACAATCATACAAATCAACGATTCGAACTGATTCCGCGAGAATCCCCAACGAACATCACGCTCTTCCCAGTAATCCTGGGGGAAATTGACGGTCTGTGAGGTCATGAGCATCAGTAGTACCAGAGCTGACATACATAATCCCACCGGAACCAGGCATTCTGGCGTCGGTCTGATCCTGCAGCTCTTCCCGATGAGGGGCAGCAGAAGCAGAGTTCATGCTCATCATCGTTCCACTTGCTTGGCTCTTCTTAGTTGTGTTGGCCCGACATACTCCCAAAGCACTACTCTCATATTTGCAGGGGGTGGAAGCTCCAACGGAGAAATCAAAGTGAACCCAGTTGCAGGTGCACTCTTTGATGCCAATGGTGGATTTCCACTCTTGCTGGCGCTGCAATTTTTGGCTTGGTGGGTAGAATCGAAAGAGAGAGAAGGGGTAAAAGGGAATGGTATGGATAGGATAATGCAAGTTTGAATGCTTGGAAAGAAAAAGAGAAACAGTAGAAAAGTGTTTCTGGTTAAAAAACGTACCCAGCTTTTATCTATAAGAAGAAATTGTTCTTTTTGGTTTTATGGATGGAGGTCTGCAGATGATGTTTCTCCTTGGGATGTTGTTAGTCATGGAGTTACAGTGGCTCTCTGTAAGCTGAATAGATGGGTGACCAAATTGGTCAAGAATGAATTGGATTGAATGAATGAACGTCCAAACAATATTGGTGTATTTTTCAGGTACAAATCCTCGAATAGATAGAAAGAAAAAAAACCAAGCTAAATTATTAATCTATGGGAGAGTCAATGGAAGCAGAGCCATGCCCCCAGTTTCTCTTCAATTCTGCTTGCTATAGAGAAGCCTGCTTGCCTTCCTTCAGCTTCAGTCCCATATGTCTTATTTGTAGCTGTAAATAAGCAACAAGAACTGTACACGTAAGCAAGCAGGTAAAAAATGACCAGAAGAAAGGAGCAAAGAGAGAGAGGCAACAAAGCAAACCTGTGTTTGCGATTCAGAAAGAAAGGAAGAGTGGAATTTATTTCAGTTCTTGACAGTGGTGACAAATTTGACAAGCATGTCAACCAGCTCTGATTGCACCTTGGAGGATGACTCCTTCAGCTTCGCAATCTTCTTCACTGTTTCCTGCTCCAGTTGTTTTGTCGTCGCAGCTGAATTTCCCTACACCACAAACCAAATGTAACAACATACAAACATCGAAATTGCTAGGCCATATATGCTTAATCGTAACAATGTTCCTAAGAGATGGTATTCACGAACCTCGGACACTTTCTTCTGGAAGTCGGCTTGCAGTTGCGAGCGATATCTAGCGGCTTCCCTCTCAGCTTCGTCTTTCGCTTGCTTCAACCTCGACAACTTCACTGCAAACGTACGATTCGACGTACATTGATGATAAATGCAATATGATCAGATAATGCATGATCTGTGTTGTGATTGGATTTGGCTTACAGTTTCTAGCAGCGGCTACGATCTGTTGTGCTTCCTGCTCGGCAGAGAGCAGCATCTGAATCCCTCCTTGGCTTCTCATTGGATCCATTAATTGACTCCTAGCTCTCTCTGGATCCAGAAATTTTTACGTACCCAAATTATTAATAATGTTACTATAATGAATTGTTAGAAAGTCCCACGCTATCATTCATTGTATTTCACATTGGGATCTCGATTGGTTTCTGAGTGAAGGACAGAGTGGATTCACAATTTCAGATCATGATTTGCTATAGAAGTTTCACAAGAGAGAGATATGGAGTAACAGAAAATACCTGATAAGAAATGAAGGTGTAGTAGGGTGGAGAGAATTTACTGGTTGCGTTGATCAAAGCAAATTAATTAGTGATCTAATTGAGAGCGGGAGAGAGGATGGATGCAATTAGTGATATAATAATAAGAGGCAGATGATTAGGGAAGAGGAAGGAAAAACTGAAGTAATTAATTAAGAGGAAGAGAGATTTGACAGCCAAAAATTAGGATGGAAGATGTGGTGGTGAAGAATAGGACTGATCTGTTACATAAATCAAGAGAAGAAAGGGCTATATGAAACATGGTAATTAGGCTCTCAAAGCCCATGGGTTATAGCTGGATGTTCCAAATTTATTTTTATAGAAAAAGGAGCGCGATCAACCTTTTTTTTTTAAATAATTTTTTGGGGTTCGAGTTCGACTATAATTTAATCAAAATGCAACCAATAAGTAATATAATGGTTTTGAGAGTTAAACACTTGTTTCCCAACCCAATTGACAAAGAATGCCCTAGAGACGGTATATAATCGATCGCGAAATCGGCTTCTTTGTATACATGTTCTATTAGAAGAAGTCGAGGTCGAGTCAATAAATTATTAATCTCCGACATTAACACAAAATGTGGATGGTTCGGTTGAGCCGATAAGATGAACTGATCAATGACTATTTGAGAGTCTAATGGTAGAAAATTCTTTTTTAATGGCAAAACAACTTTTCTAGTCTCGAAATTCCATTTAAAAAACACATGGTTGATTATGTAATGAAAAAAAACTTCTCAATTCTTTTTGCTGTCCTAACCCTAGGGAACATCCATTCTTTCTTTCTTCTAAATCACAAATACACTACTAGTCTAATTTCTAAGGTGTAACCGAGCTTATCACTTTTGTGGAGAGACTACCATTCATATAAAATATCGATTTGATGATTTGTTTTTAATTGATCATAATGATTAGAGTTGAACTTAATTTCGTCAAAGAATTTCTATTTATATAAAAAAAATTGTATATAGAATAACTAATTGACAATGCCTTTTAGAAAACATATACTTATATTAATATTCAATTACTTGCATTGCATCATTCCAAATTATTTCAGTTGAATCCCTAATTTCCAGTGATCAAGTGGAGAGCTAACATTGAACCAGGGAGTTCTGTTAGTAACATGCTGAGGAAGAGGAATTATATCATGGATTTTGTTACCAACAGAAGGTAAAAGTGGTAAGAGGAAAAAACTGGAGTTTGTTAACCTCCAATACCTTATATAAGAAAGTAAAAAATTTACCATCAATCTTCACTTATACAACACCACATAATTAATCATTGCACAATACAGAGCACTACATACTCATTAATCATGGCGTCTTTCAAGTCGGAAAATCAGAAGCAACTTACTGCAACAATCTTCTTAGCGATTACACTTCTTTCTGTAGCGATACAACAACGTCCTTGCAGCGCAACGAGAGATGTGTTTGTCGACTCGACGATGACTACAGCGACACCAACAACAGTGCAACGACAGCCAGCTCCGGCGGCGGATTATCAAATCGACATTAAGTATCCATGGTGCAGGTTGTGCTGCAGTCCTTTCATCGGGAAATTCTGCTGCAAGGGTGATGGTGATGACTTCCATTGCTGATCCCCCTAAGATGGTTCTTTCCCCCCCCCCCCCCTTTTTTTAGAATGTTTTAGTTATAAATAATTGTTTTTCAATAAATTTTGTAAAATAGTGCTTGTAATTTTTTACCCATCTAATAAAATCGATCTCATCAATTTCGGACATCGTAATTGTAACCTCATTATTTGTGACGAGTACGCCGCGTCGGACTAGCCCGTCTCGAGCTGTTACAGTCTCTCTTATTTTTATATGAGATAATTACTAACTTACTTTCATAACTATTTACACCAATTTTATAGACGCGCGCAACAGTTTAGTGCATGCATGCTACCGTTAAATTATCGTTCTTCCTTTCAAAAACATTATAATTGTTATTAGTTATTGGAATATATATATATATTTTTGTTGCTATATTTGATTATTAAGGGGTAATTCCACAAAAGACTAATAGTTATGAATGGTAATTGTGTAAAAACCATTCACATATCAGAACAGAAAACAGAGGCTCCAACATAGCCACTACAATTGGCAGATTTATATCAGGGGTTGAAGGAGGTTGCAGCCGGAAACTAGAAACCATGCATTTGTCGGTGGATTTCTATTCAAAACAACTGTGTTTTTGATTGATGATCTCCATTTTTCTCTGCAAGCCGTAGTAGGCAAGAGAAGAGCTCTCTGATAACCACCCTCTGTTTCGGCATGTCGACGAAAAGCTTGAAAACGATCCCATCCCAGATGAGGTTAGCTAGCTAGCTAGTTACTAGAGCTTTGCTGCATTTTTCAGGTGCAGTTCTTGAAGGTTCTCCGAACTTCAATGAGATTAAATCTGCTTCCACTATAGCTCCTAGCAGCAGTAATCGTCCACAAGAACCAGAAACCACGATTCTCCCCCAAGTCCTCAGTATAGTAATTAGTAAGTCTCATCAGTGGCCAAAGAACCCATTTATGGAATTGGATATAGCAATCTTTCGCGTCGTTCGTGATCGGAATCCTTTGCGGTGTTGTTTCCCCGTAATTTGATGCGATCTTCCCCAGTATTTCTGTTTTTCCCCCTGTTTTTTCTGCTACTCGAGTGGCGAGCTCGGCACCAGGTCAATATATCGCACAAAAGTCAATAACCCGTGTAAATATCGTGATATATCGACATATCGCGATATCTCGTCAATTTCAATTTCTCGTCAATTTCTCGCGTTTCGATTTTGGTTTTGAGGACACGAAACGTATCGCGTTTCGAGCGTTTCTGACGCACGCTTCGCTTTTCCGTGGGGGTTCTCATTTTTTGCGGGCAGTAGGCCGACCGCCGTCCCGAAACGGCGCTGCATTTCGAGTTCTTTGGGCCTTTGATTGAATGGAGCAGAAGCCATTTTGGGCCCTTTGTGAAAGGGAAGCCCAACTTACCCAGCCCGCCAGCCGTACCTCTCCCTCTTTCCCAAAACGCGGCCGGATCATCTTCTCCCTCTCGGCCTTCAATTAAATAGAGATACTTATCGGCCGTTTCTCCAATTTGCGCGGGTTGCCAGTTTCCGCCGGTGGTAGGCCCCATCCCCCCTCGCGAAACGCGATCGGATTTCCGGTCGTTGGGCCTTCGATTAAATTCAGAAGAAGCTTTTTGGGCCTTTGTCGAATTGAAACCCATGCCAAATTTAAAAGCTCATGCCAGAATCTAGAATCTGTGCGTCCCTTCTCCGTTCTCCCCTGTTTTCTTCTCCCCCATGGATTCCCAGCTTCAACTAGATACCGTTAGCGAAGACTTAACACTAGGGATGGCAATGGGTCGGGTTGGGCGGGTTTTGTCAAACCCAAACACAAACCCAAACCCAAACCCATGGGTTTATCCGCCAAAAAAATTCGGGGTAAAACCCGCTGGGTTTGAAAAACTCAAAAATTGGCCTACAAAATCCAAAGAAAATGGCCTTTCGTCGCCCAAAAAATTACGAAAATGCCATCCGAAAATAAATTGGCCCAAATCGGTGCTTAATGGACTTATAATCCGTGGAGAATAGGATCAATAGACTTCATTATCGGTGGAGAATAGGCTCGGCCTGATTCCGTGATATGCAGCCTCCAAAATCGAAAGAAAATGGCATTTCGAAAAAAGCGCCCGAAATCTGTGATGGTACCCCTTTGTATTCTGCCAAAAATGGGCCCGGAATAAATTCGCCCAAATTTGCGCTTAATGGACTTAATCATCATTGAAGAATAGCCTCAGGCCGAATTCGTTATCTGTAGCCTTCAAAATCCAAAGAAAATGGCCTATCGTCGCCCAAAAAATTACGAAAATGTCATCCGAAAATATATTGGCCCAAATCG